ATAAGGCTGAGGTATAGTACACTGGCAAAAATAATAAGAGGCAAACAAGAATAGTGCCAAAGTAACAGATACCCAAAACCAAATACCATGTAAAAAAACATCATAGAGTAACCATTTTTCAGATTAGAGCAGCAGGAAAAAGTTACTTCTAAATCATAATCATTTTAGTGGTCTTTGTCAACTTTGCCACATTAACTTTGCAACATCATTCTTCATTTGTAAAATTCATGTCAAAAAAGGAAAAGGGGCTGGGCTGGGGGAAGTCAGTTAGTTCATTCCAATAAATTACCTCTCCAGTTCTCATACACATGCGCATCAGCACAAAATTGAGAAATAATACCTAAGACCAGGAGATTCTGTTAAATTATGAAGCAAATTAAAATGGAAAAATACAAGAAAATAGAACCAATGGGGTTGAAAAGGCCCCTCACTGAAAAATCTGTATTAAAAAAAATAAAATTAATAAAAATAAAAATAGAAACAAAACTCTACTAGTACAAACTAGCCTGAGTGGTTTGATGGACAGAGTGATTGGGTCAGCTGTCACTGTACTTCCATAAATGGATTTCCTTCATTCATGTTCAAGTGGCACATGAATGTAAGCTATTAAGGACAGGTACTATATTTGTATAGGACCCAAACAGTTACTGTATATCCTATAAATAAAAATATTTTACTTTGATAACTGACTGAATATGTGGGGACTCCATGTAAGCAACCACATGGCTGTTTGCTGTACAGTCCTGTGCAAATATAAAAAAAAATTTTTTTTTTGCTATAAGGCTTTGACCCTACAGTTTTCACAGCAACATAACTACCATCCAGCATGTACCATATTTTGCAAGCCTTCAAGTTCAACAATCCAAATTGTCGATTCGTATTATGTCCAAATGCAGCATCCTTGAGGAGTATAGTAGCTCAGTTAATCATCCAGGGGCACACAAACATCTTCTGATTCATCCCATCGAGGTGGATCATTCTGATCTTCTCCATCATCAACCAGCTCTTCATCAGCTTCTCGTACTTCATTCTCCTCATATTCTTCATCCCGAGGGAATTCTGTATCCTGTCCCTGATCTACACCTTCTTGCCCTCCTGGTTGTGATTTATCTGCACAGTCTACACAAACACCATAGCGGCGAGATCCATGTCTTATTCCAACACTGGCTGCTAACATGAAGATCTTCTTACACACCATACATTTGTATTTTTTATCCTTTGTATGCACCTAATTAAAGGGGGGGAAAAATCCAATATAAGGATAGTATAGAAAAGGAATGCATTTGAACCACTCAAATGAAACCACAATGAGTGAATGTACCAATGCTTTTCATATGAAGTTCAGTATCATTTCAATAAATACACTTTGTTTAAAGCAATTTAAGAATCATTCTTAAATTTGCAAATAACTATTAAAATGCTTTAAACTTCATTGGCATAAACAGTTTATCACAAAGATCAATTATATTTAAAATTACTTACCAAGGAATGTCTTTTTACATGTTCTCTCCGAGTAAACAACTTCCCACAAATATCACAGCTAAATGATCTCACTCCCGTATGAATGAGCAAGTGCCTTTTTAGTGTTCGTCTGTATTTGGCTACATAGCTACAATGAGGGCATTTTAACTTGTTCACCATGATTAGAGATGATTCACCTTTAAGGATTAAAAAAATTAAAAAGTATTTATTAAACTTGCTATCAAGTCTCTAGAACATCTCTAGAACAACAATAAATGTGGGGTTACTATGTATTTCTTTAAACATAGACTATGGAAGCTTTTTAATTGTTAAAAATTATTTTTAAATTCTGCCAGGCATGATGATATACGTGCTTGTAATCCCAACACTCAGGAGGCTAAAGCAGGAACATTTTAACTTTGAGGGTAGCCTGAGCTACACAGTAACTGCAGGGATAGCTTTTCTATGAAGACACAGCAAAAACCTGTCTCAAAAAAAAAAAAAAAAAAAAATCAGAATTCTGTACTTGTTTTGCTGATCATCAATACTTACCATTTTCCCAAGTTTCTTGTTTTGGCCAAGATTCTGGCAATAATCCATACTTGAAATCATTTGAAGCACCTGGTAGCAATCCATACTTATAATCACTTGAAGTACCTGGTAGCAATCCATACTTGTAATCACTTGACAGGCCAGGTATCAAACCATACTTATAATCATGTGAAGTACCTAATACAATAAAAAAGTTGATTTTTAAAATAATATTAATAAGAGCGTGTCTCCCTAGTCAGAAGAACAAAATATATTTGTATACTAGTAAGAGTGATACACATCTTACTATAAATGAGCTAAATAAAACTTTTAACCCTCCAGAACTGTAGGCTAATCTCTCTCCTTTATACAATATCCAGTACCAACTATTTCAATATAGTAACAGTAAACAGATTAACAGAGAGCAGGAATTCTCTCTCCCTTGGATTTGATTTCATTTTGGAATTTGCATTTAATTCCTTGAATCCAGGAATCTTTGAATATGCATATGCTTATACACACACATACACATACAAGAATGAGGAGGGAGCATCCTCCACAGCTATTGCTATTCTGATGCAATCAATCATCGATTCCAGCATCTAAATTTTTAGTGGTTGCCCACTCGTCTCCCTGCTCTCCCTATTGCCATTTCAGAATCTGTACTTTGCACAGCAATCAAAGCTTCTTTGAAAATACCAACTCAAAGCCTGTCTCCAGCCTACGGAATGTCTGAAAGGATTACCGACATCACTCACAAGTAAAAAGCCAGTTTCAACATCCTACAAAGCCTTACCAGAGGAAGCCCTTGCTTCCAACTACACACCTTGATGACTCCATTGCAACCCATGGGCCTCTGTGCTGTTCAATGGTAAGCAGGCTCCCACTTCAAGGCATTTATTATCCACCTGGAAAAATTCTTTCCAGTATGTATGCATAACTCAGGTATGCAACCATACTGGCTCAGAAACCCTAATCGAAAAAGCTTCCACCACATCTTGAGATTTTTTTTAACACTACACGATGCTCAAAGTCTCTCATTATGAATTTGCAGATTAAGAGATATTTTGTGGATAAACTCCATGCAAATATTCCAAATCTAAAAAACTCCAGTATCTTAAAGCACTTATGGTCCCAGGCATTTAGGATAAGGTATAATTTAATCTGTAATAAAATGTTACTCCCAAGAACACTATGGTTTTAATTAAAAAAAAAATTTACCAAGCAAGGTGTGTTTCATAAAAATATACTCTCTCGTATTTATCGGACACTTAACAACTGACAAATTTAAGATGTTCCCCTCTTTGGTGAAAGCATCAATATCCAATAAAGTAAAAAGGCCTCTAATGTATGTTTTTAAATGCACTAATACATAAATTGTTTTGTACTTAGAATACAACTCCCCCACCCTTTTTTTGGTACCAGGGATCGAACTCAGGTCCTTGCACTTGCAAAGCAGGCACCGGAACCACTCACTGAGTTAAATCCCCAGCCCTCAACTTCCCTATTTTTGATGTTAACAAAACCCTTTGAACGCATATAATTTAACTATAACTACTATTAGGGAGAAAGTTTTCAGAATTCCAAAATGAAACATTTCCTTATATGCAGGAAAGAACTAGGATGGCAATAGCAGCCTGTGGAGATCAATTTTCAGTTTCAAATTTCTGAAGTTGTGGCTTCATGATTAATATTTCCTAAGTCATAACAAATTAAGCTCTGAGGAGGACTGTCTTTCTGATCTTTATAGTTCTAATGTCTAATAAAACACAAAAAGTCTTCCAATTATTTGTGGAATATTTTATTTAGCAAAAGCTATACCATGTAGCTGATTTTTCACTTGCTCAAAATACTTGGAAAAACTGGGCATGATGGTGCACACCTGTAATCTGAGAGGCTAAGGCAGAAGGATCACTGCAAGTTCAAGGCCAACCTGGGCCACATAGTAAGTACAAGGCCAGCCTGAATTGCATAGTAAAAAAAAAAACCTGTCTCAAAAAAAAAAAGAAAGAAAATCAAAATACTTGGAAAACTAATGCCAGAATCATGTTAGATGTGCCAATATCTTCAGCTGAATATTCACTACAGATAGAATATGACAATTTATGAACTAAAAGTCAAAGTTTCAGAATTACACTTTTCCAATACCTGAAATATCATTTCTGTATAAAGCATCCATGGTAACAGGTAAGAGACACTATTTAGAATATAAATTAAAGTCTTGCCCCTAATTCTTGTAACTAGCAAAAACCACTTATAAGAATTACAATAGCCCGAATAAAGGTAATGTCATTTAGCCTTATCATTAAGGTCATTAAGGATTTACATCAAATTGGTTAGGTTCAGTTTGTTTTAGATGTATTATTATTCCATAATGGCATACTAAGGGAAAGCAACGCTTCTGATGTCCTAAGACGTAAGTTTTAAGACAAAGGTTGATCTCAGAGGAAAAAATACTAATGGATCAAAATGCCCTTTTTCCTAAGAGAAATGACTCCAATAAAGGGTTGTTTCCTTTGTTTTCAGTTGGTTCTTTTGTTGTTTTGGTGGGGTTTGTTTTTTCACAGGGTCTCACACTATGTAGTTCAGGCTAAACTTGAATTCATCATGTAGCCCAGGCTTGCCTTGAACTTGCAGTGATCCTCCTGCCTCAGCCTCCCAAGTGCTGGGATTACAGGTTGGTGAGCCATGACACCCAGCAAGTATTTGCTCTGACAAGGGTTTTACTCTTTTGTTGCTGTTTTTTAGTACTGGAGATCGAACTTGGGACCTTGTACTTACAAAGCAGATGGCAGAACCACTGAGCTAAATACCCAGCCCAAAGGTTTACTCTTTTGAGAATGAAATAAATGACATGGATTCTTCCCCACAGAAAATATTTATTGAAAGGGGTGAAGGAAGGGAGGACAGGGGTATGAGGAAAAAATGAGAACCAACATCTGTCATGTAAAGGTGCAAGATCCCAATGATGACTGTAACTGTACTGTATATTTAAAAAGTACCAATAAACTCAATTTAAAAACTTGAGTATGAATTTCAAATTTTATGTAAGAATCCACATTGCCCCATTAAACTTAACCCTGGATCAGGTTTTTAAACCAAGAAAGCAAGTGTTAACACTCTTGCTATATTACCAATTTTCTGTACCAGCAAAAAAAAAAGTCCTCAAAATTCAATGCATCTGACCTACAAAGCCATTTCACCGATATACCATCACAAAGTTAAAAGTTTTTTAAGTTCTAAAAAATAAGCCCTTACCCATCTTATTACAGTGATACATGCATACCCATGTTTATAGCAGCACAACTCACAAATCTAAATCTAAATTTAGATAAATCTCGGAAACAGCCTATGTTTATCAACAAATGGGTGAAGAAAATATGGTATTTATGCAAACGAAGTATTACTCTGCCATAAAGAAGGACAAACTTAAGTCATCTGTGGGAACATGGATGTACCTTCAGACCATAATGTTAGGTAAAATAAATCAGACATAAAGCATGGATTTTTATATGAGAAACCTTAAGCATAAGTAAATTAAGGAGCAAAATAGAAGATAATAAGCAGAGAGACAGATCTTTTGCAAAAGGAAGAGGACCAAGGAATGGAGGGAAGGGATGGGAAGGGGATAAAATAGATAAGATGTGTTATGTACATGTACCAAATCCCCAGGATGAGGAGTGTAATCGTTATGTACTGTAAACATGCACTAAAATGTAAATATTAGAAGTCAACCAATCAATAAACTCACCAAAATAAAACCAGAATTTCAATTTGTGTTTACCAACTTTCAGTCATCATAAAGCTACCAGATTTAAGTATTAACATATATAAGGAAAGACACATTAGGCACCAGTAAAAAAACAAAACAAAACAAACAAAAAAAATCAAGCAAGACTTCATCTTCAAATCCTCTTAAATGCACTCTTTCTAAAAGTTTTACTGTACCTACCAGCATCACCTCCATCTTGGGCACACCAGGCTTCAGCCAATAGATTTGCATTTACACCATCTGGCCCTGAGAACAGAGCACCATCCAAATCTGAAAAGGACATACAGAACTGTTTACTTACAAACCACACCACAGTCACCACCCAAAACATCACTTTCTGCTTAGAATTGTTTCTTATGCAGACTAAATAAAAAGATTATCTGCAAGTGGTGGATAAGTACTGTATGCTGAACAATCAGTACCAAGACAAGTTAAACGCAAGGAGAGCAATCTGTACCTGCCTTCACCATTTAACAGCTTATCATGACTGTCTCTATGTCAATGTGTTTGTTTACACACTGACTATTCTGAGTAACACAGGCAGGTGTCCTTTCAACCAGGATTCCTGTTTGCACAAGATACACTTGTACATATGTTTTTATAGACTTATTTTTGCACATTTTCATTTTGTTTTATTTCGTTTTTTTGAGATAAGGCCTCACTATGTAGTTGAGACTGACCTGGAACTCAGAGGAATCCTCCTACCTCAGCCTCCTGAGTTCTGAGATTACAGGTGTGGGCCACCACATACAATGCACACTTTTGGGGGGGTACTGAGGATCGAATTCAGGACCTTGTGCTTTTGAGGCATGGTACCACTGAGCTAAAATCTCTGGCCCCTGCACTTTAAAAAAAAAAAAGGAACCCTGTATTTGCTTTTCATGCTTATTTCTAGTGAAATCTAATAAATTCTGGTTATTTTCTTTTACTAACATTTGTGAAATGTAACATTTTTGTGCTACAATCTTTAAAAACTCTATCATAAGTACGTTAGATATAATTTTTATACTTCACCAGAACTCAGTGATATTCTTTTACAATACAAAACAGACTTGGGACACAGACTGAACAGAAGGGAAGCGCCACAAGAACTGCAAATGGAAGAACTGGAAAAAAAGAAATGTTAGCATATCACAGAGAAAAAGTCTGTGTTATGGAATGGAAAGAAGAAAGACATCTCTTTATTGTTAACTATTCGTAATACAGAAATGATAGAACCTGGAAGAATCAAAAAAATTCCAATGTGGTCAATGATTATAATAATCCTATGGGTGGTACTGACAGAGTCGACCAACATCTAACAAGCTATCCTTTAATCAAAAAAGCAAAGAAAAAACATTATAATTTATTCACCTTCTGAACAATATGAAACTCATGTTATTTTTTCAAAATAAGGGGGTTCAGAAAGTCATTTACAATTTAGATTAGGTCTAAAAGACCAAAGAATTGAAAAATACAAGACAGTCAAACTCCAACCAGGACGTTCATCACTGACATCGTCACCATTACGTTTAGTGGGCAGACATTTTACTGAAATTGTACCGCCCACAGAAAAAAAGGAAAGGCCAGCATGACAGTGCAGTGTGTTGTTCAAAGAAAGACAATACTGTAAAAACAACTCAGAAAGAAACTAAATAATACTGTCCAAATTATAACACTGGTGTGTTGAATGTTTTAAGATGCATCATACACAAAATTTATTGAATAAATTTGATAAAATTATTTTTATATTTCCTGTCATACTATCTTATAAAATTTAATGGGAAAAGCACGCAATTTTTTTGTTCACCCTGTATTTAAATAACTGGAATGTTAAGTGGTTAACTCATCTTTGTCTAAGGTCTGAAATATATGCTTTCCAATTATTTGTTGATAAAAGGTAATAAGTCATAACATGTAACTGGTATTTTTATTTTTCTTGATATCAGGAATTGAACTCAGGACCTTGTGTTTGCACTGAGCTACACTGCCACCCCTGAAACTAGTATTTTTGACTTGCTCAAAATATTTGGAAAATACCAGAAATCATTACATGTGCTAATATTGTCAATTAAGTATCATTCACTACATATAAGAATAAAGAGGAAAATATACCTAAAGTAATTTAGGAACTGATAATCCAAGGTTTAGATGTGGTTTTCAATCAGAAGAACATGGGCACACTGAAAACTTCCTTATTAGGAATGGGCCTTGAAAGTCAAGGTGCAAAAATAAAAAATTTTTAAAAAGTAGAGATGAATTAGCCGCCAATTCTAGTGAAGTTACTGCTATGTGATTGCCTGCCTGCCTGCCTGTTTCCTCAATGACATCCAGTGTAGAAATTAAATTAATAATGCAAGCCAAAACTGGCATGGTGGTGCATGCCTATAATACCAGTGCTCAGGAGGCTTGAGGCAGGAGGATCACCCCAAGTTTGAGGCCAGCCTGGGACATATAGTGAATTCAAGGCCAACCTGAACTACATAGTGAAACCCTGACTCCAAAAAAAAATAAATTAAATAAGTCAAATGTTATAATTATGATGCATTTAGTTAAGTACAAAGTACAGCTGAACAGGTTGGTGGCTCTGTATTGGTTCTACAGTGAAAGAGAAACCGAGAATAGTAGAAAGATTTCAGAAAAGAGGTAACTGTTAAGAGTTAATCTTTAGCTGGGCATGGTGGTGCACACCTAATCCCAGCATGTTAAGAGTTAATCTTTAGCTGGGCATGGTGGTGCACACCTGTAATCCCAGCACTTGGGAGGCTGAGGCAGGAGGATCGCTGTTTGAGACCAGCCCAGGCTACATAGTAAATTCCAGGTCAGACTCAACTACATAGTGAGACTGTCTCAAAAAAAAAAAAAGAGAGTTAATCTTGATGTATGGAAAGGATGTGGGGCAGCAACATAAAAGAAAAAAGGCAAGGTAAAAAGATTAATTAATCCTCTGGCTATAATCTGTACATTTCCTGTACATCTGTTTAACCCCACTGCGTTCAATCAGACACTCAACACTACTCAGTCCTAGTGAAATAGATTCTCTTTGCTTTACACTTCTATTCATTTCCTGGATGAATCTATTTCATGTTCCTAAAATGTAAATTTTTAAATTGGTTCACCACAGCTTTTAGGAAAGTCTTCAAACTTTATAGTTTAGTATCTAGGTTTCTGTTCTGACTCCATCATCTCAAGTGTTGTAAACCCTCTATACACTACGCTACATTTCCAGTCCTTCTTGGCTTTTGCGACAGGGTCTCATTACTTTGTTCAGTCAGTTGGGACCGAGGGTCCTGCCAGAGTGCTGGGATTACAGGTGTGCACCACCTCCCTCCTGCTTTCCAAAACATTAAAAAATTGTCCTTTAACAATGGCCATCATCACCTCCTATTTAACTTGTTTCTGGTATCACTATCATTGACTCCTCTGGCTTCCCAACATCCTAAATTAAACAAAAAATGAAAACAAGCTAAAAAGTTCTCTGTACCTATTCAAAAATATTTAAATAGGTAAATAAACTGTTACATAATATAATGGAATGTAATACGGCAATGGTTCTAGTGTACAGTTACAAAGCCTCAAAATCACCAAACAATTCTGGCCCAACGATAGAGGATAGTAGGATTACATGAGAGAGGAAAAAAAAAGTATAAATGGTGGCTAAGTATGCACTGTAGGTCATACTGAGCCTTGTATACTTTTGGTTAAGGACTTGGCCTTTTTTCAGAAGGGATAAAAGGATATTCATTAAATGGTACTAGGTAGGGAATGAACCGAGAGAGCATTGAGCTATATCCCAGCCCTTACTTTTGAGATAAGACCTAGCTAACTTGTCTAGCTAACTGCCCTTAAACTTGTAATCAATCCTCTTGCCTCAGTCTCGGAAAAAGTGCAGTTACAGGTGTGCACCACCACACCTGAATGGATTAAAGGGTTTTAATGAATTACATGTTTTAACTTATTTGCCTTTTAAAAGAACTTATTGCTGTCACTATAATGAAGTAAAGGAGGGTGAAGAGATGTAGGTAGACCATTTAGCCTATTTTAGCTATCTAAGGGAGCTAAGGGAGTCCTTGACTTTTTGTTGATGGCAAAGGAAGAAAGTGGATAAATTTGAGAATGCTTGTGGGGGTAGAGCTGGGCTTAGTGGTAGATTCAATGTTGGGGGCAGGGGTTAAGATAAAGAGAGAAGCTTCTAGCCTATATAGTACTAATAATGGTAGGAATGGATACCGAAGAGGTAGACTAGATAGATAGGGGTAATAAATATGACGTTTAGTTGTGAACACAGGCTATGTGTGCGTGATATTCCTAAGAAAGGGGGATGGTGCAATGAGTTAACAGAGTAACTTGGTTAGGTCTGGCATTAAATTCCAGTTCTGCCACTTCCTGGCAGTCAAACAGGTCATTATGACTCCTACAGCTATCGATCTCAAAACTCCCTAAGTCAGCATCATCAAGGAACTTGCTGTAAGTGGAAATTCTCACATCTACCCTAGACCTACTTAACTGCTTTGGAGGAGAGGCCCAGAAATCTGTATTGTATTTCAACAAGCTTTCTTTATAGTGGCTCTGATGTTTACTAAAGGCCGACAATTCTACTGTAAAAATGGGAAAAAAAGGGATGTCTCATCTGACCCTAATTTTTTTTTTCCACTTTAGTTTTGCAGCAAAGGCTATAATCTGGTATTTGAGCTAGAAATAATGTCTGAATTGTCAGAATATAAATGGCAAACAATAATACCGCAGCAGTGAACAAATGTGGCCATTAAAAAAATAAAAAAAAAAAAGCCGGGGATTTAGCTCAGTGGTTCCGCCAACTGCCTCGCAAGTGCAAGGACCTGAGTTCAATACCTGGTACCAAAAGAGGAAAGGAAAGAAAAGAAAAATCCTGCCAAAGAGAATTGAAGAATTCTAGCATTTAATGAGCTAGAAAAGGATGTAGAAGGCTTTCAGAGGGAAAAGTTTGTTAATACTGCCTAGAATTAGAAATGAAGAGGGAAAGTGTATACTTTCATTAAGCACCTAGATGCTGGACATGGTGGTACACACACCTGTAATCTCACACTCTGGGAGGCAGAGGCAGGAAAATCAAAGTTTAAGCCCAACCTGGGAAACTTAGCCATCAGTGGGATCCTGTCTCAAAATAAAATTTTTAAAAGGGCTGAAGGCAAAGCTCATTGTGAAGGCCCTAGGGTTCAACCCCCAGTACCCCCTTCTGCAAACCTTCCCTGTCCCCCCCCAAAAAAAACCTAGTGAAATGGGAGGACAACAGGATAAGTAGAAAGAATTAA